AATACTCAACGAAAATCCGCCGCACACGTGAGTATTTTGACGCATACGTCAAAACACTCAACGAAAATCAGCTGCACACGTGAGTATTTTGACGCATATGTCAAAATACTCAACGAAAATCCGCCGCACACGTGAGTATTTTGACGCATACGTCAAAATATTCAACGAAAATCCGCCGCACACGCGAGTAAAAATACTCAACGAAAATCAGCTGCACACGTGAGTACTTTGACGCATATGTCAAAATACTCAACGAAAATCCGCCTTACACGTGAGTATTTTGACGAATACGTCAAAATATTCAACGAAAATCCGCCGCACACGTGAGTAAAAATACTCAACGAAAATCAGCTGCACACGTGAGTACTTTGACGCATGCATCATTTTACTTGCGTAAAATTACTCAAGTGCGCGCCGGGCTTTACCCCTCTCCCCCGCACCTGCTCTATCCGGGAGATGGCAATCTCCGCGTCCAGCCCGCGCTCGTGTCTCTCCTTCGCCAGGTCATAGTAGACCTTCCCGCTGCACAGTATGTGTCTTCTGACGCGCTCGGGGGCGTCTGCCGGCGCCCCGCTCTCCTCAATGACGCGCTCGAACTGCGACCCTGAAAACGCAGGTCAAGGTCGGTGGGTCACTGTCGGTGGGTCGAGGTCGATGGAATTCGCATCGATTAGATCTGATTAGAGTTCGATCATCGGGTATTGAATATATGGATAAGGCACGGCTGGGGTATGGCTTGGGTATAGGTGGGGTATGGCTGGGGTATGGCTTGGGTATTGGTGAGGTATAGGTGGGGTATGGCTGGGGTATGGCTTGGGTATTGGTGAGGTACAGGTGGGGTACAGGTGAGGTATGGCTTGGGTATTGGTGAGGTATAGGTGGGGTATGGCTGGGGTATTGGTGAGGTGCAGGTGGGGTATGGCTGGGACATAGTCAGAGAATGCAACACGTGAGACATAAGCGTCGTACGAGTGGCGGCACATGCCAGAGACACGGCTGTCATGTAAGACCACGTTTAAATACACCGCCGCCGCCGCCACCACCCTCGATCGCCTACCATCGGGGAAATCGTCGTCGAGACATAGGTGGCATACGGGTGGGACATGGATGAGACATGGGTAGGAATGAACACCACGTTTGAGCGCACCGCCACCACCAGCTACCTAGTTTATTTATATTGACATTACTACAAACATTCTGTTTAAATATTGCTCATCATAGTAATTACTATTAAGGATGCTGTAAAGATGAGGATGGTGTAAGGATGAGGATGCTGTATGGATGCGGATACGCTAGAAAGAGGATGAGGATTCTGTTAGAGAGAAGATTAGGATGCTGTTAGAGATAAGATGAAGATTATGTAAAGACAAGGATGCTGTAAGGATGAGGATGCTGCAGGGATGAAGATGCTGCAAGGATGGGTATACTGTAAGGATGCGGATGCTGTGCAGCTGAGGATGCTATAGGGATAAGGCTGCTACACGGGTGTGAGGATGAGGATGCTGTAAGGATGAGGAAGAGGAATTTTGGCTTCAGCTACTGCGGTTGCCAGCGGCTATTTGCACAAGATTATACGATTTCGGCGCATGGCACGCAAACGTAGACGGATGCCGTTCCTCATGATGACTCATGCGGCAGATCAGATGTATAAATAGACATGCTATCCTTGCTCGTGAATTATCGCCTGCCATCTACACGGGAAAGGATACTGGCTAATACTTCCGACGCCATGCAAGATGAATGCTGCAATTAATAATGAAGGGATGCTGTAAAAATGATGATGCTGTAGGGACGAGGATGCGGACAGGATCCCTATTAATTAAGAAAACTGTGTTAGTAATTATAGCATGAGATGTATGCCGATTTATAGTTCTGTTAGTGTAGTCCTGTTCATTCTGTGAATTATATTAACTTTCTATCGAAGAAATATCGCTGTCATTTCTTATCAGCTCGGTTAGCAATGCGTGATGGGGCACGATAAATTATTAATTTGCGTTGTAGCTTTTATAAAATCGTTACATTCGCTCAGAAATGAGCTCGTTTCTCCTCAAAATGTTCAAATCTTCATGCCACGCTGAATCTACAATCGACTTCTCGCTGACTTCACTTCATTCTATAGAGGTACCTTATTTCCATCCTTGTCTTGAACACGATAAAATTCTTGCAAGTTCCCTAGTTACTTAACCAACGGAACACTTGGTAGACGCAATGTCACAGGCCCAGAGCAACGTGAAAGAACAACTTTATGTATGGTACTAAGAATGGTTTACTTTACTTCAACTATTTTATTCGTTCAACATAGCATCAAAGCTTAGCTTCGATCAAGCAAGTAATACTTTTGCGGTACGCACACGGTGAGCACACATACGAATAGCTCTAAACTATAGCGATAGATCACATCTGCAGCTAAAATCCTTCTTCCTTCAAAGTTATACTACATCATTTAAAACATTTATACTATGAGCGACAAATGAGCTACATACCTCCGAAATAAAGAACGTCACAATGCTGCTATATAACTCTAAAAATAAAATAAGAAAATACAAAAAAAATGTAAAACAAATATGAAGGAAATGAAATTATAGCGATACACTGCATTCTGGATCAGGCGTTTGTGAAGAGCTACGGCGCTAACTATACTAAAAATCACTTAACCCCCACACCCACAAAACGCATTCTCTCTCTCTCTTTATCTATCTATCTATCTCTCTATCTATATATATATCTAAATATATATATATATATATATATTCTATTATTAATCATGATTCTCAGGCTATACATAGTAATTTTAAAACTGATCATGGGACGTGTGCCGATAAAATGGAAATTTGAAGGCATCATGTCGCCTTCTATTTATTATTTATTAGTCCATCCGTAATTATTAATTTAAGTTATTACTTATTTTATTATTTGAAGGGCGTCTAAGGATACCTTTTATTTCTTAAATGGAGCCAGCCTACTGAATAACAGATAATATTATTACCATAATATTATTAAGCTATCTAGCTTGGATCTTTGTTAATATCACAATCAGCATAAAGAAGACAATGACAATAGCATTTCCGCACAGTTCTAGCCTCCGTATGCCTATTTGATTTACTCCTTCGAAATCCCACATGCTCCATATTATGGATAACAAAAGTATACGAGTGGCTTAAGCCAACAGTCATGGAACTAATAAATATACGACAGCATAAATATCAGTAAAGTTCCAGTAAATACACTGTGACCATCAATGGTATTTCATCACATTAAGCCTACGCCGACTGCACGCACCGCACCGCACGCACGCAGCACGCACGGCACCATGATAGTACAGCGTCGTACCCCCAAAAAAAAATAAAAACAGCCACGCATTCTTAAAACAACTGTTACTGCGTATGAATATATACGAATAACACTCCTAATACACGTACGTGATCTCCTCTCCTGTAAGCCCCTAGATATAATACTGGTGAAACAGTGCAGGACTAAATAGCCAGGAGTGGGCCTGTGTACCACACTGGCAAGGCATACACACTTAGGCTTCTTTCTCCTATTACATCGCGAGTACTGTTGAGCTAAGTTTTGCAGCGAAAATGGAGACAGAGGAAACTGGGCCGCCGACGACACTTTTTTCGGATTGAATGTAAATAGCGTGCCACGCTAAATAGCATTTCATACTTTTCTTTCGGTGATATGAGGAATCAACGTAAAATCAGCAAAGTGTGAGATTTACTGCGGCTTTACTAGCCATAGTCATGTGTAAATCTCAATCTCATCCGTTGGACGTAACCGCTACTACAACCACTTTAATAAAAGTACAACATTTGAGCACAACACACACACACATGCCCACTACATCACCACGATGATGCAGAGCAGGGATTCAAGCATAACACTTCACCTCACTTCACGGAACCACACACTTAAGCCTAGCGCAGTAACCACGATCCTTTGGTTGCTCCGTCGCTCACGGCAACCTGGCAACCACACGCGCAATGCGTCGCTGTGTCACCCGCGTGTACGTCATGCGATTTTCGAACGACTCTAGAGCGATTGGAGCGACGAGTCGCTCAAAGCAAAACAGTTTTGATGTCTTGCACTCGTCGCAAGCGCAGAATCGTCTACGGGTTGCAGTTGCCAGGGCGTTCTCGCAGACGTAGCCGATTTCATAGCGATTCATATAATCGCTGTCGAGTTGCAATGAAAAAGTTGGGGCACGGTCTGCGCTAAGGCTTTTAATCTGCCTGGGATCCAACAACAGATTTTCACGAAGTGACGCCCGTCTTCCACGGACTACAACGACAATCCTATGCAAACGGGGTGACTGACACAATCAGGCGCACACGACAACACGCATAGAATCAAGTGGGACCACGAAGTTCCGCGCGAACCGGCCACCAATACCGACGGCGTAAAATACGGGCGGAGCTGCTGACACAAAACGATGAGCTGTAACGTTCGTCACAGCTGCAGAGCAGTTCGCGCCCGGCGTCGCCAGACGGTATACTGGAGGCGAGCGGGTCCGCTCAGCGACTCATCCTCAACGGTCATCGCGCTCACGGTAGAGGTTGCTGAGCTCTATCAGGTGCTGTGTTTGTTGGGCCCGTGGCACAGCTTTCGCGCAAACCGCCGTCCCCACGTACTCTTCCAAACCCTCGGGCATCAGTGAAGCGTAAAGTGCCGATTATTCCGCCGACCCCCTAATCAGGGTTCAAGCCTGGCATAACCGTTCACCCAGTCGAACTACGTAAGTGTCCCTTCTAAGAGAGGTATCATTCGATAGAGAAGTGATTCAGCGTAGTACTACTGGTTAGAGATGAAATACGCAAGTGTTTCTTTATAACATGGTCTATGTGATATATAGCGGGTCCTACCAAGAGGCGTCGAACCAGGGATTCGACTAACGTTGAACGCCCAGTCATGGAAGGCGCGAAGGCACCGTAAAGGGAAAGGGAGTCTGCGAAGGGGTTCCCCCTCTCGCCTGGTGGGGGTCTGGGGGGGGTTTCTCCCGGAATATTTTTGAATGCTACATGGAAAGGTGTACCGGCTGGCGGAGATTTAAAAATTCGACGTTTAACATCGAAACCACACCTAGTAAATAAAGTAGATTGGCAACCGTTAAAATTTATAATTAGAAAAAAAATTCAGAAAAGATGTTGAATCGCGATGCTTCCAGGGCTCGCCTGACGACGTGCCCGTGGTCTTAATTGCCACTTGTATAATTTATACAATAAGAGAGTTTATACGTAAATTAATTTTATTTGTGGGTGACTTTACCTGACTTCATGCTGGTTGCTAAGCGCTGTGGTGAGTGCGTGGACCGTACGTACGCCCCACGCGCACCAGGATTGTTCCTGTGCTCTCCTGACACCACATCAAGATCTGCATTAGATAGGCGCCGACCGGGCAGGACTTCACCCGAGTCCAAAGGGAACGGAACAAATCTGAAAACAGGACAGCGTACATGTTACCATATAGACTGATGCTCCTGTCTGGGTCTTATATTCACGTGAACTATGTAGGGAGTGTTGGATTCTCCTAATCGGTGACCCCCCCTGGTGAACAACGAAGGTCATCTACAGTATGACAGTATCCAACCTTCCTCCATAGTGCCAA